GTCCCCCCAAACCCAACCACTACAACTTGGCCATGTCCTGCGAACACCATCCAGCTGCAAGTGTGTAATTGCGCCAGGCTGTGAAGAAAAGCAAAGTAATTTCGTGTACCACAGCATATCCAGGCTGTGACTCTCTTGGGATTGGGAAGGCAAGAGGAACCAATGGAATTTGCAGCAGAGGACAACTCGACTGCAATGAGCACTTGTCACCTGGGAGCAGCTGCTGCATTCAACATCAATCTCTGAAACATGCCATCTAGACCTCCCAGACTAAGTTGGAGAGACCAAAGAGATCACAAAGAATAGCAGGGCCTGGTGCACTCCTGTGCTATTCTGATGAACTGTGGTCTAACAGGAGTGACTTCATCCTCCCCCTCTGCCCCATCTTTGCTCTGCCACTCGCAGAGAGCAAAACCATGAACTTCCTGTGATAGCAACACACAAACTGTAATAGAGTTGTAAGATGCACAGGAGTAGCTCAGACGCTCACCTCTGAGACCACAAACCACTGGCAGAAAACAATCAGAGTGCTGACTTCTTGGCAAACACCCACAGGTTACTCTTTCTTGTCTTCCATCTCCCAAGACAAATACTATGACTATTCTCCATCCCTAAGAGCCCTACCAGCAGCACCTCTTCCACTTGCTGACTCTCTGGCCACCACTTCGTAAGAGCACTTCACATAAACCACAGGCATTGATGGCTTGCAGGCTAGAGGAATGAGTGGGGCTCAGCTGACCCTCAAGGCCAGCTCCCCATCCCTCCACAACACTAAGCAGTGATTCAGCAAGTCACTTGCACACCATGTAGACTGAAAATACTGATAAAATGATTAGCAGGCCAATATAAAGAAGTGAGTATTAAATCAAATAAGCTGGCAATTAACATTTTAACTGAGACGACATTTAAACTGTTCTCTACAATACCCAGAACAGGCAGTTAGTGTTTTGAGGCTTTCTCCTCGATGCTGTCTGAGGCTTTCTCTGCTAGTTGATGCTATCTGCTGCCCTGCACAGCTTCAGCAGAACAATAGTGACATCATGGAGTGAAATGCTCGTGACACTGATACGCTCTTTGGTTACAAGAGCCCATTTTTTTCCCTTCTTGCACACAGAACTGCCCAGAACAGTAAGATTTTCCCTGACCAGATTCCCAAAGGTCTTAGGGAAAAAAGCTTCTGTTTTTCTTTCTCCTGCTCTTTGGTTACATATGGAAATCTCCAATTTGGGAAAACAGGTTCCTTTCATTATTTAACCCTTTATTACAGCAGTTACGGTGGGAGTCGTTTCACCAAAGGAGAGCACCCTACAGCTTTCCCCAGAGCTGGTTAAATCTTTCCAACACCACGTCTCTCCAGAAGCACACCCAACGTATTTAGCTGAGTTACCGGCATCAGCAGCCAAGCCGGTCCTCGTTTGCCACGCACCTCCGTCCGCGATCTGCCCTCTCCCCCGGCCTGCGAAGCGGACAGGTCGGGAAGAGCGATGCGCTGCAAGCGCAGCTGGGGTTCGACTCACCCCAAGCACCGGAGATGAGCCTCACCCGAAACTTCAGCGCGGAGAGCCCAGCGAGAGCTCGCTGCCCGCCCCCCCGACCGCCGCCTCTGCCTGGCTCTGGCGACTCCCCAGCCCGGCCCGGTCGCCCGCCCAGACCTCACCTGATGACGATACACTGGCTCCGGGGCCCGTCGCCCCGGCGGCCCAGCATGGCGTGGTAGGCCCGGCTGGCCACGGCGAAGATGTGGGGCGGCAGCGT